GAAGGGGGGATAAATTAATAAGAATTTATTGAAAGTTTGTTTAAGAAGCAGTCAGATATCCAGACCCCTTCCACTCTTTCTCATGCTCAAGTGTCTGCCTCTCCCATATCTGATGAAACACTAGAGGTTTATTATCTAGAGAATTAAAACAGAAGGTTTCTGACCTTGAGAACATGAGGCAATAGCTGAAGCAGTGGTATGGTATTGAAAACAGCAGGATTAAGTGGGCATATGAATACTGGATATTGAGGCCATGTGCCTCCACCTACAATCTACTCCCACAAATATCAGTATCCAGAGACTAATGAGCCAGGCAGGAAAATGAAGCATTCTCTTCTGGAAAACTTAATATGTCCAGGAAGACATACCTCAGATGTTCTCTAAGGAAACGTAATCAGATCACCCTACAATGAAACTCACAGCCAACAAGTTCCACTCAATATCAGTTTCCAATCAAAAGATCCTAATATGAGCAGGTAACAAAGTATGATGGTTAATTTCATGTCAGCTTGGCTAGGATATGATTCTCAGTGGTACAGCAGACACTGGATTGGTCACTGTTCTACAGAGTTATGCAATATAATGCAATGTAATTACCTTTGGTGATGTGATCTGACAGGATCAACCAATTAGCTGAAAGGGAAGGTTTCTTGAGGGTGTGCTCTACATCCAGAATATAAATATATATTTTGGAAGAATTTCATTTCTCTTCAGACCTTCCTGCATTCTTCTCATCACCTGACCTATGGATCTTGTGATATTGGACTGCAGAAATTTCCAGCCTGACCTACAAATTTTGGACCTGCTACCTCCACAATTAGGAAGCTCTGGTGGTGCAGTGTCTAAGGCATTTGACAGCTAGCCAGAAGGCTGGAGGTTCAAACCAACCAGCCACTCCGTGGAAGGAAGACTGGACAATCTACTTCTGTAAAGATTTAATGCTTCAGAAACTCAAAGGGGATTGTTATGAGTCAGAATTGACTCAATGGTAGTAGGTTAGGGTTTGTTTGTTTTTTGGTTTAGCCCCGCAATTGCATGAGCCAAACCCTTGAAATATCTATCTATCTATCTATCTATCTACTTCTTACTGATTTTATTCATCTAGAAAACCTAAACTAAGACACAAAGATTACTAAAAATCTGAGAAAAGTTCCCAACATGAAGTATACAAGAAAGAGAGGCAAAGTAAAGAGAAGAAATTTTAGAAAATGCTAAAGAAACAAAAATTGTATAATATTCTCAGAAAAATAAAAGATAATATCTTATCAATGAAAAATTGTTGTTGTTGTTAAGTGCCGTCGAGTCATTTCCGACTCATAGCGACCCCATGCACAGCAGAACGAAACACTGCCCAATCC